CCTTAGGCATAACCCTTCTCCCTTTCTTTTCTGCTCTTAGCCTATGCCTTCCAGCTTCCTAGGGCAGTGCCAATCCGTGTACTTCAGACTGTATCTCCTGGGGACAGGGACATCTCTGTTAGCTGCAGAGCACCACCCTCGCTCAGAGCCTGGGAGAGCGAGCAGGCTGCATTGATGCAGGAACTGCAGCGCTGGGGTTAGGTGGGCAGTGGGTACAGGACCTGGCCGCCTGTCGGGGAAGCTCAGCAAAAGCAGCCCTGTGGGCACTGCTCCCTGGCCAGCACTCGTCCTGTGTTCCCTTTGGTCATGTCCTTCTGGGTCTAGACACATACTGTACCGTGCAAACCCTGAAGCTTGGCTCCTCCATTAGCTCTTTTGGCAAGATAGATCTTTCTGTTCCTATCAATTCATGGGCATGTGATAGGACTCGATGGAAAGTGAGGTGAGGCTAGTAATTTGACGCGACAGTTGATATTGGGCCTAGGCTGCATTTCCCACTGGCCAGGACTTAGCTTCACAGAGCTTTTAAGAGTATTTTTAGTCCTCAGAAAATAAAAGAGAAACTAAACCTGACTCTGCGTGCTGTTGCCACTGCATACTCGGCTATTTTTACTTCCGACAGACCCGGCCTGGGTCCAGCTTTTAAAAAAAGGTGGAATTATTTTACTTCCATTAAGAAAAAAAACCCCAAAGCCTGATGTTATCAAGTCAGCAAGGGGATATCTGATCCCAAAGTTGTCAGGCAGACGTCTCTTTAAGGGGCATGTCAGAGAAATGTAGGGAGCTTGAACAGATCAGCAGATCAGCTCTCCCACTGCAGAGGCTTGGTGCTGGCACAGACCTCACTGCAAGAGTGCTTGGAACACGAGTGGCACCCACAGGACGCTTAGAAAACTGACATCCCTACCCCAGGCAGGATGCTGAGCCGAAAAGTCCTGCACAAGCCCTGGCCCTGCCCTCCTCCCTGCTGGGTCAGAGGGGGCTCAGGCAGGCTGGGGAGCTGAGAGCGTGCTGCAGCGAGCTGGGACTCGGTCCCTGTGGGGGACACGGGGGTCAGCTCCACATCTAGGTCAGACAGGTGCCAAGACTCTTACACAGGGTCCCTCAAAAGGTACTAAGGTTCCATGAACAGCAGCACTTCTTGCAACACAGGGGAGTGGGAGCAGGGGGATGTTTTCAGCACAGATAGCATTCATTTCTTAAGAAGCAGCTGCCGGGAAAGTTAAGTGATCGAGGGGTGGTACTTCCCAAACTTTGCCCTGTACTGCTGCATCTCAGACTGTGTATGTAAGCCATGCCATCTTTGTTGCCCTGCCAGCCCCTCCTTGCTGATACTGTCAAGAAGGGGGGTCCAGGGGTGCCTATGGTGGTGACAGTTTGGTGGGATGAGTGCCTTCTGTCTTGGGAACTGGTCAGTTGTGTTCCATGTGAGAAATGGGTTTGTGCGGGAGCTGGAAGGCAACTGCTTTCTCTTGCTGCTGTCTTGTTGTCAGGCTGTGGCACCAAATCCTACGTAAGAGTCTTCAGTCCGGACCAGCTGCACCGCATAAGTGGCCACTGTATGTTGCAGTTCAAGCTCAGGTGGCTGCATGTTTGGTGTGGTGTGAAATCCATCTTTGGGATTACGGTGTATGTACCCTCAGCCTTGCTCCAGCCTGCTCTCGCTCATCTCCCTCCTTACGCTCACTTCCTTTCATATCTCAGTTTACATCCCCTTACATTTCTTTTCTGCTCAGTGCTTGCCTTCCTGCTCCTCTGAGCTCACCCACTGCACCTCCCCGCTCCGTTCTGCCATCCTTCAGCGTCCCTCTCGGAGCTGCGTTGTAACCAGCCCGCCTGTCTTAAAATCAACCGTCGAGGGAATCAAAACCAACAGCAGGTAGTAAGAAGCCACCTGAATACCCCAAGCTCACTGCCAGGTCCTGATTTTTTGGCCGTGCCGTTTTCCTTCATCTAGATATGACCCATCAGGCTGTAAGATCTTTGGGGAGGGGATCTTGGCGTGATGGTTATGTCTGGAGTGTCACAGTCGGGGTCTCGGGGGTTGACGTGCTTTTGTCCGCTGCAGCGCCTGCAGGTCTCTGCGCTCAGCACCTGGCGCTGGGCTGCGCTACGCAGGGGTCAGTCTGCTCACCAGCTCTGCGGCTGTGGCGATGACAGCAGGGTACAACAGTGCCTTTGCAAATGCTGATTAAATCTTTTGCCTCAAGGAGTGTCGAACAGGATGGGGAACAAGAGGAGGACAAACACTTCTTCAAAATTAACAAGCCAAAGTCCTTGGGCAAACAGACCTCTGTCTGCTCGGTGAGGAGGGATGGAGGGTAAATCCCTCTGCGTCTCTCTTATCTTTTTTTAATGCACTTAAGTCCTTTGTGTCCTTATAATCTGATTGAGGGTCCCTAATACTGATGCAACCTCTGCAGCCATCCCTCTGCCAAGCACTGGAGGATGGCATGCTTCTCCTTGGGAGAAGGAAATGAGCTCTTTCCCCCATTTCCTCCCTACCCCTCCCAGTTCCCTCTCCACGCTGCTTATCAAAATGCACAGTGAAAGCATCCCGGAGGGCTGTGTGTTGGTTTCTCCTAGGCTGAGAACGGCATCTCCCTGCACCAATGACATCCTGCTCACTGGCATGAGGGAGTGGTCCCCACTATGACCCTTGTTCTGCCAGGGAGCTGTGATTCATGCCTGAAGTCCTGTAGCTTGCTCTGGATTCCTCCATAATCTTTCAACAGTGTATTCCTGACCCTTTTAATTTTCCCACCTGTTTACTTGGTTTACTGGCGGTTCCTGACATTCCTGTCTTTCCATCCTTTCCTGGCTTTTAGGTAGGTGCCATTCATTCCAGCAGAGGTTGGAATGAACAGAGGTTGTCTTCCTTAGGAAACCAGAGCATGTTTATAGAGGGAAAGACATGGATGAAAATGAGAGTTTACTGTTTCATCCAGGGCTTTATTAGTGTTGTTCCTCAGGGATCTCCCTAGATAATCTCAGGTTTGGGATTCCCTGGCTGCCCTTTCTGAAATAACTCCCTCGAACGTGTTGGGGCTACCAGGATGGAGTCTTGCTCACCGGCTACCTGCTTCTGGGAATGGAGGTAAAAGAAGCAATGGGCAACATTTTCTGACACACTACTGTGTAGTGGAGGAGAAAGGTGTTACTTATGCTTAGGTGAATTCTCCACACGGAGTCAGAAATGGAAAATGGGAAGGGGAAGGAAATTACTCAGTGTGGTATGAGTTCACCTCTTCGGCTTCATGTCTTTCTCTCCATCCTCAAAGTCTGCCATCCTCCCATAGCAGCCACTTGGAGCAGCAGTTCCTTTGCTCTGGAGAGCTCCAGGCCTGCTCAATCCTGCTTCTCCTGTTCAACAGGAACAGCAGGACTCTTCAAAGGAAGCGGCTATATGGCATTAATAGCATCACGCCCAGGAGCCTCTGTCCCCACACACCACGGCTTACAGGTGTAAAGTCACAGAATCTTTTAGGTTGGAAAAGACCGTTAAGGTCACCAAGTCCAACCGTTAATGCCACCTAGACCTCCATGTGGGTGCTGCTACCGCCAAAGAGATTTTGCTGTCAGACTGTATAAGTGGGTGCTGTTGGCCTGGTTGGTGTGGCTTATTCCAGCTGCTGAGGGGCTGTTGGTACTGTGCCAGCCAAGCTGCTTTGGGTGCTCCATCCCTGAAGAGCACCAGGATTTAGGTGTTGTGGCAGGTAACGCTTTTATGGGGGGCTGGTGTGAGCATCCCAGTAAAAGCTATTCCGTGACGTGGTAAAAAGCCCTCTGTTCCGTGAGGTGGCAAGCAAACGTGGCATGGAAACGCAGTGTGAGTGGCAGACGTGTGCCTCTGCCTAGGGTGGAATATTCGTCAGCAGGCTGTGGGTTTTTTCAGGTGTACAAGTTGTTCGAAAGGCATCACTTCAAAACTGATGTGGAGTGTTTGCTTTTAGTTGTTTGTGTTTATGCAGTGGATTGATTGCAAAATATTAATGCCTCGATGTGATTAGTAAGTGTAGCACATAATTGGTTCTTGTGATCAGACTAGATAAACTCATGTGTGTTTCTAAGGAAGCACTTGTATAGTGTAAACTCAAAGTTTTATTCTGTTTGAATCCTCCTACATTTACCTTGAAAGGTTTGTTGGGGTTTTTTCGGGTTGGTTTTTTTTTTTTCAATAGCTCTTCCTCCCAGCAAGACTCACCCCAATTTCACAAGAACTGATTACCAGAGACCATATGGCTGGCCAGAAATAACTGACAGTTGAACAAATACCTGGCTTTTTTTTCCCAATTTGTATTTAACACTGTATTTGCTACCAATACAGCACTTCAGCTGCTGTTCCTGGTCCGTTGATGCTGCTGTGGTGGTTTGCATGGTGACAGTCACTGGTGCTTCCCAGTCACTGGGAACTGTTTTCAGTGTGCTGTTTGCTTTGTTGTAGTTGAGGTTGTTTCTGTTTATTTGGGTTCTACTTTTATTACAGTTGCCTTACTTGGTGAAGGCTGAAATACCTTTGTTGAATTCATAGTTCATAATCTATTTGCTATAGGTCACTTTTTCAAATATAAACAGTGAGAGGTCACAGAACATTTAACTTCTCATTTTTAAGAACAATCTAAAAGCTTATTTTTATAACTGCAGGTTTGATTGACATTTAATGTCTTTCTTTTTAAAAACAGGATCATCTAGAGGGCATTGAGGTCTGAAGCTCTTCATTTGCCCAACAGATTGATGGTGATTCGAGAGTTTGAATGGGTTAATTTCTGTCCTCATTAATGTTTTGAATAAAAGTGAAGCTCACAGCAGCATGGTTAGACCTGAAGGCAGTCTAGCCAGTATTCTTGGGATTGCCGGGTTCAGCTGAGATCTCAGGTGTTTGGGAGAGGGAAGCTCCCTGGAGCGCAGGGAACATCTTACTTAGCAAATTTTGGCACCTGCATGTCAAGGTTCCCTGTGTCACTAAGGAATCATGAGGATTTATCTTGTTTTACCTGCAGGGGTTCGTCTGGATCGAGTCCGCGGAGGCCGTCAGAAATACAAGAGGAGACTGGATTCTGAGAGTAGCACTTACCTGAGCCTACAGATCCCTCCCCCAGCAAAAAAGCCACGTACGTACTGGTCTTGAATCGTGGTCCTCTGAGCAACCACTACGTTTCTTTTTTTTTGGGCTCCCAAAACGTGCAGTGGAGCAGGTGCCACGTCTGATTTCCATACCAGTCACCAGCACTAGGATTTCGTTCCTTCCGATCACAGCACAGAGGTAGATTAGGTCATCTCAGCTTCGGCCCAGGTGCTGTATTCATTGTGCCTAGGGTTAAATACGAGACCTTTCCTAGGAGATCATGTAAATCCATTTAGTGCTATCCTGATCCTTCCCTGTATCCAAGCTATGTTAATAAAACCTGCCCCTTGCTGATTTCCACACTACCCATAGTTCTCTGAACTTCTCCACATCCCACCAACTGATTATTCGTGCCTCCTCCTCCCCTTGTTGGACCTACTTGATGACCTTATAGTAGCTTCCTGCTTTTGTTCTCCCCGTATGGAGCTGGTTTGGTGTAGGCAGATCACTACAGTTTGTGTAGCTGCAGTGTAGTCTGCTGTTGTGACCAAACCCATCTCTGAGGTCCTATGGGCTCCCTATAGGCCTGTCTTACCTAGGAAGGTCCTTCTGGAAAGGGCTGTTATGACACCTTATGTCACGAGACACACAACAACTTCTCCTTTCAAATGTGCAGTGACTAAGATCGTCTCCCACTTGCTGGTGGCTGAGCCAGAGAAGATTTATGCCATGCCTGATCCAACCATGCCAGAGAGTGACATCAAAGCCCTGACAACCCTCTGTGACCTGGCAGACAGGGAACTGGTGGTGATCATTGGCTGGGCAAAGCACATCCCAGGTAAATGGGGAATTACAAGGGTGTAAACATGAACAGCAAAGGGAGCTGTTGTTTATTGCCGTAGCATGTGGTGATGGGTGGAAATGAGTGTCACAGAAGACTGCTTGTGGTGGGCTTTCACTGGTAACAGGCTCCAATATAGCCAGTGGTGTAAATGCGTAGGTGGATGTGTGTGCGCCCGGGGATTATGCAGGAGGCTTTGAGATGATATGACGAAGTTCCGGTTGTACCTGGCATTGAATGGCGCAGAGAATGCTGTGGGAAACAGCCCTTGGGATGGTACGGTGGACTTGAGTGATTTTGCACCGCATCAACATGACCCAGGTCTGTTGTGTTTATAGATGAACAGTGTGATGGCAGTGACTGGGCTTTACTGCTGCTGACAGGGCAGGTATCCACCCTGTCTGGAGCGGGCATTCTCGCCCAGACCCAGGGAAATTTTCCACCTACTGGATTCATCACGGAACAAGTCCCATTGGGATGGAGGACGCAGTGTTGTCAGTGACTCTCCAGGCCTCAGAAGGCTCACTCTGTACTCACTCTCGTTGAGTGCCTGTACGACTGAGTGACGTAGCAAGTGTCTGACACTTGCAGGTAGGATGGACCCAGGCTGAAGGAGCAGACACGGCCCTCAAGGGGGTTTTGAGGACAAAGATTTGGACTGAGAAGGGAAAATGCCCCCTCTCTCCAGTTTCCCCCTGCCAGAAAAGGATAGGTTGGATTTGGGTGTGGAGAAGGTTAGCCAGGGAACTTAGGGGATGTCCTTGAAGTTTACATGGCTGCTTTCCAAAGACTGCTTCAGACACTCACTATGAACAGCTCACTACAGCCATCTCCTGCCTTCTCTCCCTCTTCCTTGTGTAAGGAGAATAACCAAGGCTCAACCACAGGATCAAGGGATTTAACCCATATTGCACATTGTCTTCCACTGCACAGGTCAGTGTCCTCCTGCTTTTCTTCTTGCCTTTAAGCTCTTCCTTGTTTGGTGAGGCATCTTGGCATGAGTGAGCGGGCAGTTTACTTCTCCCACGTATTTTGTTTCTCTTTGAAGCTCCTCTTTTGGCTCTTTGGTGGCTGCTTCTCTTTTTTCAGAGGGACTATTTCCCTCTGAAAGGTCAGTAGTTTCCTGGGCTGTATGGAGTATGGACTGCTACGTGGTGGGACTGTAAAGTCTGGAGAAACTCGTTCAGGACAGTGTTAATCTCAGTGGTGCCCTTCTTACACGAGATCTGCAGGGATTACACCCGTCACTAGTGCTGGAATCCATCTGGGGCTGATTCATCACAAATGGGGTTACAGTGGCGATTAGGGAACTAATCAGCCTGGATTGCTCTACTAACCCAGTACTGAGGGTGTTAACAGGGGCAGCTTTAGTGCAATGCAATTAGCTGCTACGGCTGCCCCGTGAGCCGCTGCTCTGCGTTCTAACCTTGGCTATTCCTATAGGGGTGCCCTGCTGTCGTTCCCTAACTTGCCCTTGTGGGATGAGCCTGGGATGCTCAGCTCTGAGTTCCTACAGAGTTTTCCAGCCTGTGATATTACCCCAGAACAGGGGTATAGTAGAGATTAGTCCTGCGCCGTGAAAGGGGCTCTTCCTCTCCTCTCTGGAAGGCAGGACATACCTGCCATCATCTCAATTTTCTCCATATGTTTTCCTGTCCTTTCAAAGGCCCTGCAGCATGGTAACAGCCACCAGCCTGGCAGAGTTGAGAGCAGCAGCAGTATTCTAATGGGACTGTGTGTAAGGAGAGAGCTCAGGGATTGTTACACAAGGTAGCCGTACCGAGGAATCAAAGGCAGTTCATAAAAATGGCACAAAACACCTGGTAGTTCTGAACCAAGTACAAAACATACTGAGTTAGGCAGCAAGGGGGCAGAGCAGGGCAGGTCCAGCAGGCTGCCAGGTGTCATTATCCGTGCCCTGTATTTCTGCCTTCCAAGAATTTTGAGCAAAACGGGACATTGCCTCCTGTGTGCGTGAACTCTTGGATGGAGAGAGATGGAGAAAGGAACAAAAGTCACACATTCCCGCCTTGTGTTCACACGGGAATTAGTACAGAACAATGTGACGTTCAAGTCATAGCAACTTCAGGTCCCAGGTGTTGGCGCAAACTTCTGCCCCGCAGTGTTAGCAAATAAAATCAGTTCAGCTTCAAGATGCTCCTATGATAACAGGGAAGCGTGATGATTTAATGGTGTTTAGCAAATGTTATTAGCTCAATGGCCTTGTGAGCCATTAGCTCAAAGCCACACTTAGCCAATGAGGAGTTGTCCCTTTCCTTCTCTAGGAGGCCCCTACTCACCCTCCCCCCCGTGCTAATTGTCTTTGAACAACATCTACCTTTTCTGTGTGCCTTGATGCAGGGAGACACTTCTCCTCTGGAGGGGTGAGGACTGAGGCTCTCCCAGGGTAGCTGTTGTGCTGTTCTCACTAGGAAGACGATAGTACTAGCACAGAATGAAATATGGCAAGTGGAGTGACAGCAGCTGTGTCTGGAGTGGCCTCAGATCCTATAATTACATCTCCCTTTATTACCTCTGCTAATGGCCCTCCAGGATGACAGAAATGATAATAAATTAACAGATTATGAACTCCACTTGCCACAAATTATGTGACTCTTTTTTTTTTTTTTTAATTCTGGGAGCTCCCAGTGCCAAACCACTGAAAAAAAAAAAACCCCACACATGAGAAGAAAACCCCCGACACCCTGAATGTCACATCAGCTATTGCAAATAAAGCAGCTTTTCCCAACCTGCACCTGGGAACGCTGGTGCTGGAGACAGAGGCTCCTCTTTTGGGATCTTAGGGAGGGCATTCCTAGTGGAGCATTCAGCATCTTTCAGGATAAGACCAAAGGAGCAAGAGACAGATCACTAGGGGGAGAGTCTTTCTGGATGTAGTGCCATCAAACAGCTCAGGAATGCAAAAAGGGCAATTCTGGCAATTCCTGTGAGCTGTAAGATGGTGAGGCAGTTGAAATTCACAGCTAGAGGTTCTCCGGCATTATGAACTTGTAATAGCAAGCCTGTGATTTTGGCCAGGTGAAATTAGCATTTACCTTTCCTGATCTCAAGTTTTATAGCATGGGAGAGCCCAGGTTATATGATCTTCCCTCGTCTGTGAAGGGAATGATCCAGGCACAGCCCTCCTGCCCTTGCATTCCACATGTAAACACTGCAGGGAAAGGGTCCCGATTCTGTCAGACGTTTGGAGTCCAAGCCTGGCACTGCAGCACTCCTCTCCTCAAGCCCGCCTGCCGGAGCTGGAATCGTTGGCTACCTGGGAGTGTGTCTGGCAGGGGGTTTTCCCGGGTGGGTAGGGCAATTGCAGCTGGTTCCTCTGTTCTTGGCACAGACTAACGCTTTGGCTTTCTGTGCAATTCCCACCTGCCATAACTGCCTCTGGGAAAGGGTGATCAGCAGAGATGCTGAATGCACAGGCTACTACTAGGGTGAAATCAATTTTTGTACTTGAGCAGAAAAGTGTGAGCCGTGTCCATCCCGAATCCTCTCACTCTACTACATGACTGTTTCTCCATCTTCAACAGATTTCATTGGCAGGCTGCAGCGAGGTGATGGCATAAGCCCTTTGTAGCCCAGATGGGGAATGAAGACATAGAAAGACCACGTGCCTGACCCAGAAACTGGACTTAAGGCAGTAGCTGAAATGCTGGGCTGTTCTTGGTGGTCAGATGTAGGAGAGGGGTGACCAACGGAGAGATTCCAGGTGCTGGAGACTGTGACAGTGGCTCTGACAGCACCGTTACCCCTGTCTCAGGGCTAATGCATCAGTTCCATGTGCAGCAAGCAGGAGACCTGGGGAGACAGGATCCCAAGCCTTTGAACTACATCAGGCTGCACTGGGACTCAGCCAGGAGGGCTGCATGCAGGAGCAGCACAGTACCGGCTGCAGGAGGTAAGGGCAGAAGGTGAGGCAAAGCACGAGGCACCCCTGAAGTACTCGCAGCCTGAGCAAGCGGTGGGATTCACCAGGTCCATGGAGCATAGGCTGTGCTGTGCAGGAATCAATCTCGCAGTCATGGAGCTGGATTTCCAGCTCTTCTCCCCAGTAGCCCGGACTCCTCTTTAGCTGTTCCCTCTGGCAGTCCTCCCCAATGGTTTATTGATTCTTCCCTCCCACCCACTGCTCCCCTCAGACCTTGCACACACAACACGTGACAGCTGATTGGTATCTGTTAATTAATGTGGCCTGGGGCCTCTTTTCTATTCAGTGGCCTGATAAGGGAAATTGGATGTCCAAGGGCTGCCAGGCCATTATCACCCTTTGCTTCCCCTGGCAACACAAACACAAAACATGGCGTAGTGATAAATAAATACCACTAACCCACCCTTCTGCCTTCCCTTCCCCAGCTGAGATAGTGCAGATAGCAAAAGAGAACCCACAGCCAGTCAATATAGCAATCATCGTCTCTTTTGTTAATTGCCAACTTGATAACAAGAGAAATCAAATGATCATCATGGTGGCTGGCTACCTCGGCCTGACGCGGGGCCAAGAGCTGCGAGCAGGGAGGGCTGCAGGATAAAGGAATCCTGCTGAGCCTCGTGCACAGCCAGCCGGGCTGGGAGGCTCCTGGACAAGGCTGATGAGCTCACAGGCCTCTTGGTGAGCTCCAAGGCTTAGTAAGTGCCTGGGGAGAAAATGGGTAGAAAAAAAACCAGCTGAAGGGTGCCTGGGTGTCCCGTTCTCCCACCTTTAGGTGCAAGGAGCTGCCAAAAAGCACAGCCTGTGCCTGCCTATCCGTGGTGGGCAGGAGCTGCCTGGATGGGACTGGCACACTGTGCTTGGCACCCCTGTCTGTAATGGCTGTTGCACGGTGCCTGTCTCCCAGGGTCTGTCGTGATCAGGCCTTCAAGGTACCTGGTGCAGGGGACACAGCAGACACAGCTTGCCTTCCCACACGGTTTCCGGTTTATCCCCTCGGGGCAGACAGTGCCTCTGTGTTGGCCTCTCTGCTTTCTCCAGGGAGCCCCAGGGCTGTCAGGGTCTGTCTCCACATGGTGATTGCTCTTTGTGTTTGCAGAGAATGGCTTGGTTCACTCTTGGGTGCTGGTTCTGTTGCTGCTGGGTTTGGCTGTGATTGAGGTCCTTGTATGGCACCATAAAGGTGGGTTTGGCACTGGGTAGGGTTGTTGGCTGTGAGGTGCAGAAAGGTGATGGTGCGGAGCTCTGGGAGTGATGAGGCATAGAAGAAGATTCTGTTCACAGATGTATTCAGCTTTTGAATACATTTTTGCTCTGTTTATGGCAGGATCTTTTCTCATGTTGGCCAGGATGAGAGACTGTGGTATGCTTGGAATTCAGGCCTGTGTCCTTGCCTCCTGTCCCCGTCTTTTCTGCCACCTGGAGCTCTTTGCATTTTGGTCAGCCAGGGCAGACTAGGCTGCAGTACAAAACTGCAGAGGAATAGTGAGCTGGAATATGTGGTACAGATGCGTTGCAGCTACGGAAGAAGCAGAGAGCATTGAGAAGAGGTTATCGTTAACCTTGGGTTGCCATACATGCATCAGAGCACCAGGACTCCTCTTTGAGGCTGTGGGCGGCCATGGGAGCAGAGAGAAGGGTAAGATCCACATGTGCCGATTGCCACACGGCCAGGGTCGCTTTAGTAAGCTTTATTTTCCCTTTGAAAGCAGCAGGTCAATGGGGAAGAGTGCTTGGGATGAATCCCAGGGACACTAAGGACCCTAGACACTGTGCTGCACACCCACCTGACCCTCTTTGTCTTCTGCCCTGTCAGGGTTCTCCAACCTCTCCCTTGGGGACCAGATGAGCCTCCTGCAGAGCGCCTGGATGGAAATCCTCATCCTGGGCATTGTGTACCGCTCCCTGCCGTATGAGGACAAGCTCGTCTACGCTGAGGACTACATCATGGATGAAGAGCACTCTCGTCTGACGGGGCTGCTGGAGCTCTACCTGGCCATCCTACAGCTGGTGCGCCGCTACAAGAAGCTCAAGGTGGAAAAGGAGGAATTTGTCACGCTCAAAGCTCTGGCCCTCGCCAACTCAGGTACAGCCCTGGCCCAGCCTCACAATCAGGGAGTCAAGGCCCATGCTGTTATCTAGCCTGGGGGGAAACTAGAGCCTGCTGCCGAAGCCTGTGCTCTGCAGCATCCTCAGAGCTCCCCTCTGTCGGCAGACCTCAGCTGGAGAGCAGGGGGAAGTGGAGCTTGCTGCTGCTGGAGCCCCACTGGTGCTCTGGCCCTCTGTTAGGGAGCGGGACAGGCGGGGATGGGCTGCCTGCTGGTTCCTGGTGGTAGAAGGAAGGCTGTGGAGCCCTTCTCCGCAAGCTGATTCTAGTGCCGTGAACTCAGAAAAAGGGATGTGGGCCACGCCTGCATCCACCTCAGTAGTGTTGGTCAGTTACAGCAAACAGGGAAACCCAGATTCCAGTTTCAAATCCCACAACATGCTGTGGGGCTGGGGCTGCCTGGTCCTGTCCTGGAGACGTTCGTTGACCACGGACACCGATTCCTCCTTTAACTGGGAGACAGTGTGGATCCAGACAGTAGAGGGCAAGACGTGCTGGCAGGAGCCTGATATTGCCCATTCTGTTTCCTCTTGCGAGGAGGCTGAGAAAGGGCAGGGCTCTCAGCCCAGTGCCTCCGTCCCAGTGCGGGAGGGCGGCAGCCCTCAATCCGGCAGGCTGGGGGAGACATGAGAGGTGCTGTGTGCTGCGCTGATCTTGTGCAAAAGCCAGGACTTGCTCAGGAGTCCGTTCCAAGGGAAACCGCTAAAGCTGCTGCGTGACGAGGGCTCCCTCTACATCCCTTGAGTCTCATTGTCTCACATCGGATCTCCTTGCCGAACTGTGGCTTGCGAGGCAGCCCAGCCGTGAGGCCAGTATCCGTGTTTGGCTAACGCCATCTTCCAGAAAGACACCCAGCATGAAGCTGAAGGGATTGAAAGAGGGGGAATCTACATCCTCTGTGTTGGCTGACTCTGATAATTAATTGTTATCTCAGTTAAAAAAAAGAAAAAGGCAGGCCTCCTGTCTTTAACGTCAGTTTGCCCGAGTTCAGCCTTCACATGCTGGTCTTTGTTGAGCTCTGTCCTGTGACCCAGGTTTTTTTACGCCCGACGGCTTGACACGGCACAGTTCCTTTTCCATAGCTGCATTCCTTGGCTGCAGATATATTACTTGAAGTGTAAGCAAGTGTCCAGGATGCTGTGGGGCTGCCCTGTCCTCACCCTTTTACACCAGTCTGTTCCTCTTTGCCACACGCACTTCTTAGCAGCAGCAATTTAGAAGAAGGAAAAAGAAAAATTACTTACAGCTCATGGATGAAAATGTTGAGTAGCATCTGTTTTTTTACTGATCCCTGTGGATTTCCACTAGAAAACTCCTCCTTCAGGCATGATTCACCACTGATAGCTACTTTGAGATCTGTCATCTAGCCAGTTACTAATCAATTGAAAGTGTGCTCTATTGATATCACATAGTGCTAATTTTTTAATGAGAATCTCCTGTGGTGCCAAGCCAAGTGCCTTATAAAAGCCCAAGTCTATTACATCTCTGCAGTTAACTTTATCAACCAAACTTGTAATCTCATCAGCGAATGAAATGAGGCTTGTTTGACAAGGCCTCCATTCCAGAGCATCGTGTTGACTGGCAGCAGTTGTAATACCTTCTTCTAAGTCTGAAGTGAGCATCTCTTTTTCTCCCCCTTTACTGTGCTCTGGTTCACATCAGGCTAGCATGAAGTTTTCAGATAAGGCCTAGGAAAATTTGTGCATCATGAGAACTTTTCTGGTCATCTTGGATTTCTCAAGAGTACTGCGACTTGTCCATCTTTAATATCTGACCTAGATGGGCCTCAGCTAGCAATTTTAGAATTCTTAAGGCCAAGTTATCCAGCTCTGCTGATTGCTGGAGAGTTTGTCCCTAGCAGATGTCTAACATCTCCTTGCATATACAGCGGACTAAGGAGTCGTCTTCATCTTCATTAGCACAGGTACCTAATCCTCCTTTTTTCGGAACAGGACAGAAATACTCACTGAGGACTTGTGTCTCCTCTGCACTGCTGCTCATGGTTTAATTGTCTCCTGGCGAAAAGAGTCCCCTTACAAATGGTCATTTTTCTTCTATTTCTTAAATATTTATAAAACTTCTTTATTGTCCTTAGCCCCTCCAGCCATGGCTTTTCCTCCAATGTCCTTCACTTCCCTTATCGATTTTCTACACTTCATAACTTCTGATTCATATAAATTGCTATCTAGTTCCCATTTTCAGTTTCTCATATATTGCTTTTTTAGCTCTAATTGCTGCCTTCACTTTGCCACTGAACCGGGATGGGCAGATGGCCAAGGCTGGCCTCTCTCGACTGCGGGACGGTGGTTTTTGGCGATGCAATCAACTCTTGTTAGAGAGCCTGCCTCCTGCCTACCAGGAAGGTCACAGGATTGAACAGGGAGAAGGGCTCCTCAGAGAGGCTGAAGTGCTAAGGTGGTGACAGGGTGATGGGTGCCGAAATCGGACATTTGTCTGGCCCGTGCTGTGAGCAGAGACACTGCAGGACCTGAGCCTTGGTGCAGTCGCGTTCCTCACGGTACAAGAGAAGCTATCCCTGCTGCTGCTGCTCGCTGCGCTGCCAGGGCTAAGCCCAGGGTGAGCCTGCGGGGACATCTGTGTCAGGAGTGGGGAAGCACCGAGCAGACGGAGCAGCACAGCCAACAATTCTGGGGCTCTTCCAGAAGGAAACCAAGGTAAGGGTCAGGAGGCACAGGCCAAGGCCTGTTCCCAGCTGCTTGGGAACAGCCATTCTCACTCCACTCGTTTCTCCTAGTGCGGTTCATAGGGGCATAATCCACAGCAGTGTGGGAGCATAATCCACAACTGTCCTGCTGTGTTATTCATACTGAAACATGAACGTCAAGCCCAGGATCTCATTTTTTCATGCCATTAAACCCTCCCACAACACACACTAAGGAAGCGAGAGGAGGGCAAGTGTATTTTTCTAATGTAACCTTCGCGTTCTTTTTAATATAAATTACTTTCCTCGGTGTATTTTTGACATGGGGTAAACTTGCAGAGCGCGCGTGTGTGTGCGCAAACAGCTGATTCCTGAAACGGCGGGAATGCAGACTACGCTGGGCCAGGCCTCAGCTCCCTCGGATCAGAGACGGGGTTTGAAGCTGAGCACTTGGATGAGCACCTATGCTGCCTCGACCTGCTTTCTGCCTTGTCTCTCACACAGATAAATTCCTGAATTTCCCCTATCCCTGCTGGGTGTAATTGCTTATGCAACCCAGCTTCTAGGGACTTTCCTCGCTTCCATCCAGCCTTGTGTATATAGGCCCTTTGTTTCTAGGAATTTAAACAAGTGAAAACAGAAGTGGGAGCTCACTCGCTCTTCGCTAGAGGAGAAGCTGACAGTAGGCTGACCTTGCCAGAGCTGTGGCCGATCTCCGAGTCCTCCGTGTTACCACACCAAGGACACACCTGCTGAGACTGGCAAAGATAATTCAAGCGAGCTCTGTCTTTACTAAGTGCCTTTTGGAGAGCTGAGAAATGAATTCTTAATGCCCAGAGCAGCCGGCGAGTCCCAACAATATGATCACCTGGTTTTTGACGGAGTAGGTGTGCTGTCCTCTTTTGTCAGGAATACAGATTGATCAGCCTGCGTATTGAAGAGCCTTCCAGGTTAGCATTCCAGCACAGGGTCCATTACGGACATCCCAGACCAGCCAAACCTTATTTCTCCTTTTTTTCCTTCGGTGCGTTTTAGTGCTGAGATGGAGTGAAGACGGTCTGGACCAAGCAAGGGGAGGTGTAGGAAATCCTGTACTAACGGGGCCTGTGAGGTCCCGGCTCTGGCAAGAAAGGCACTAGGTGAGGGGGCAGTGGGCCCCTCCATTCTCCCCACTGCCCTGCACCCCATGCCAGCGGTGGTGGAAAAGGGCTCCTGACATGAAGCCTGACTTCTAGGCCAGCTGACCCTCGGGGACATGGTCAGGCAGCCTCCCTCCACCTCAGTGCTCTGACAGCTGTAAAAATTCATAGCTATTGATTTTGTAATTAACAGTTTATCAATGCCATCGACACCAGCTCACTGATGGATTGCAAGGAAATTAATCCTGCAATGTTATTTTATTTTTCACAGTCAGCTGCCGATTTTGAGCCTCTTTCAGCAGGGAGGTGGGGGGGGGATGGGGCAGGCTTTGATCTTTATTTCCCCAATTCCTCTCCCCATATACTTCTAGTTATTTAGTGCTGTTAAGTCTTGTCACCGAACAGAAGTCAGGTGGCAGAGGGGCACAGCTTTGGGATTCTGCTACTGTGCAGCAGCATCAGGACCCAAAACCAGAGCACCCACTTTGACCTGAGGCAAGGCTCATTGCCTGCTGCTTCGAGCACCCGCTGGGATCTGCGGCCTCCGATGGGCTGCAGTCACTTCTCCCACCATGCCCCTAGCCAGAAGGGTGTTAACCAGAAAGGCTGGAGGATGTTTCTTTCCAAGCTCCAACTCTTGATGTTTCCAGTCTCCAAAATGACCTCTGCAACTTGGCAGGAAACAGATCCCACTCACTTCTCCTGGATGGTGCACGGAAGTTTTCCAGAGGGGCTGCCTGGCTGCGAGAAGTTGCCAGGCTGGCTTGGCAAGGGGCTTCTCCCTCCCTAGCATTCAGAATTGCCCTCTGTGGCTACCTCAGGTCTCTCTGATGACCTACCAGCCCTTCTCTGAGCTGCTTTGCCCGCTCTCTTGGATACAAATGCAGTGCAGCAAGAACAATCCTTCCTCAGTAGGCTTCTTGGAAATACAGCCCTTTAATATCCTCTAATTAGTGCATTCCTTCTAAACAGCTTGTTAAACAGCTATCTTGCAAGACATAATATCTTCCCAACTGTTGTAATACTTTATAAATCATACCTCATAAATAGCATTTACTGTACATGTGTCTTAGGAAATGCACGGCCTCTGATTTGCATTGCGCTCGCCGTAGAGTTGGCACGTTTCTGGAGAGATTCTGGTGCTTCAGCCAGCTCTCCTCCCTTCCTTCGAGGAACCCGTGTCCTCCCACCTGTGTCGTAGGTGTGTGTGAGCCGAGGCAGAGCGCTGCCCCACTGCAGCGGCGGGCAGTGCCATGCACACGTGTGTGCCTGCTGTAGTGTCCCTTTGCTGCTGCTTCTGGCCTCGTTGCCCCGTGGCAGGAATCGGTATCAGGGGGTTCGACAGCGATGCAAAGGCTCTGAACACTGAAGGCGAGGGATGGGTGTCTCCAGCGCTGGCAGGGCTGTAAGAAAGGAGCCAGTGTCAGCAAGATGAGAAGGAGAAGAACCTGCAATGATGCTGTGCCTGCTTAGCTGCCCTGACCTAACCGCTCTGCTCTTTGGTGCTCCCTCTGTCACCATCCTTCCCCACAAGTTAGGAGCCTGGGTTCAACCCGGGTTCCCCGGCTCGACCCTGCGCGGGGTCACTGCCAGCTTGACGCACCGAGCTGCTGTGCCTCGCAAGCCCTGCTAGCCCCTCCGGCAGCTGGTAGCCATCTAACAGGCAGCCTGGGAGAAGAGGCCTCGCAGGAGGTGCGGGTTTCCTTTACGGAAGCAGGATGCTCCCTGCGTGGCTGCTGGCAGCCTCTGAAAACCGGGGCATGTGCACAAAGGTGGGGCTGGCAGCACCCCTGGGCATGCTGGCTGTGACCTACTGGGGCTTTTCTGTCTTGCTGACACCCTGAGCAGCTGCATGGCAATTAGGCAGTTTAGACAGATGAAGTGCTATAGCAGTGTTAATTATTCTTAATGAGATTGCTCCCAAGCGGCTGCGCAGCAGCTGCTGCCCCTCACAGGGTGACTCTCTCCGTAAGGAGCGTGGAGGGCAAGGGAACGTGCAAGTCACAGAGGCCCATGGCTGACCCCTGCGCAGCTGGGGGTGGCTGGCAAAGCGGGCAGCACGCGGGGCACTGTCACCTACCCCCGGCGACTTTCTGTCCCTGCACCGCTGGGCCAGCGCCTTGCGCTGATGCTGAACTTCATGGCAGCAGCACCTGCCAGCAGGGTGGGGCTTCCCCTGCATGAAAAAAAATAAGCAACACCACCCCTCAAAAAAAAAAAAAAAAAGACATCAAAAAAATAACACCGAAAGCCCAGGAAATAAAGGAAAGAAAGAAAGGTTCTTTAGCTTCAGGACTGTAAAGGATTTCCTTCCTCATGTCTGACGTGTCTGTCTGCTGTCTTTTCCCCCTCCCCCAGACTCCATGCACATAGAGGACATGGATGCAGTGCAGAAACTCCAGGACCTTCTCCACGAAGCCCTGCAGGACTACGAGCTGAGTCAGCGCAACGAGGAGCCCCGGCGAGCAGGCAAGCTGCTCCTGACCTTGCCCCTCCTGCGGCAGACGGCTGCCAAGGCCGTGCAGCACTTCTACAGCATCAAACTGCAGGGCAAGGTTCCCATGCATAAACTCTTCCTAGAAATGCTAGAGGCAAAGGTCTGACAGCCCCCGCGCCAGCCGACAGCGGCCAGGGAACAGACTAGAAACAGCGATGCAGACACCGGAGCAATCCAAACAGCAGCAGCCGCCGGCGCCGGCTTTTATCTCCAATCATTTATTATCGAGGAATTATTTAATGTCTATCCGCCGGCGTGACTGCGGAATCTCGTGTACAGGAGGGGGAAACTCTTTTAATCAGTCACCTGTTTCTCTTTTTTTGTTTGTTTTCTCTGTGGGAAATAGCAGAACATGCTCTTGCACTTGAGGCGGTCACCGGGGCTCGGCCCCTCGGAGCAGCGATGCTCTCGGCGCCGTCCAGGCCGCCTGCCCCCCAGCTCCCTCCGCCAGTGCTGGAGGGGGAGTGGGGACAGAAGCGGGAAGAGAGGAAGAGTAGAGTCAATATAAACCTGATCTGCTGGTGTCGAGAGGGGGCAGATGGAAGGGGAAGCAGCCGGGTTCCTTCTTTGTGTCACCTTCCTGGCTCTCACCACAGAGCAGGTGCTCCTTTGGAGCAGGGTGCTGCTGGACCTCCCCTGACGCGAGCGGCTGCCTCCCGGGCTCCTCTAGCGACAGCTCACACTTGTACATACAGGCCCCACGTCTTACCGGGAAAGACGCTCCTCACGTGTAAGATATTCCGCGACCCTGTACAGCGTGTCATTGCGCCTGGCTAGTCCCTCCCGTGTGCAACCCCCGCCGGCCCCTGAAGAGGTAGGATGTGTGACCCCGAGAGAATGCCAGGCTCCTTTCCCGGGCGGCACGGCCGTCGTGCTTCAGCTCTGGGTTGACTTGATAACCTCTGCATCCTCTCCTATGTGGTGCTAACTACACTTCGGCCACACTTCTCACCCCGTGGTGTCTCAGACCTGCCTCTTCAGCTCCGCTGAGTGCCATTCCCCACTCGGGCCTTGGGGCAGCCATCACAGGGCTTCGTCTGCATGGTTACTGCCCAAGTATAAACACACCCCACGCCGGGCTTTCCTAGACTTCGTTAAAGTGATAGCTCTTTGCCGCCGCAGAGACTTCGGCTTACTGCCAAACGCTAGTTAGGAATCAAGGGCATTGCTCTTCGGAAGAGGCAGCTCTTGAGCCTGAGAGATTGCTTTTTTGTGGCAGCCTAAGGAAATAAATTAGAGGGTGGCATGAAACCCCTGATATCTCAACTGCTGTCTTCCCCTGCCTCATCCCATTATCCTCCACAGCAGCAAAAGAGCTAGCATAGATTAAACCTGGCCTGGAAAGAGGTTCTCTTGCTGATGGGAAAGCAAATACCAGCCCTTGAGGTGGTGGGAGAAGTGGGGGAATCTTTAGTTACTCCTCTCATGTAACCAGGTTCCTGCTGTCTCCAAGCCCTGGTTTAGATCTGCTGCCTTGGCTGCATCTGCTGCATTCCCAGAATCCAGGGGGGAATGTGGGTGACTGATGGAACTGGCTGTTGGTGTTTGAGATCTTCTTTTCCAGGTCACTTAGTTCTGAGCCAGCCCGAGCCGCTGAAACCTGAATGTGCTGTCTGGTTTGTGGTCTGCAGCGTGGCAGTAGAGGGGAGCAAAAGCAGCCACCACTGGCTCTACTTCCCTCAAGCTTCCGTCCCTTCTGGCAACCCAGGAGAAGGGTGGTGGGGCAGAGGGGTAGCTTGCCCCCAGCAGGAAGCCTTCCAAACCAGGGCTGAGGCGTGTGATCAGGGAGGCGCTGGGTGCATGTTTCCCGTTGGGGCGGCCTGTGTCACTGCAGGGCTGCCAGTGCTGCAGAGCAGCTCTGGGCTAGCTCAGAGGCTGGGAACCCCCGCTCTTGTAGCCAGTCTGCTCCTGAATCTTAAGTCAGTCAGTTCAGTTCTGTCTCCTCTGCCTTTTCCCTCCACTGTTGTAGCTACTCATTCATTTTGTACCCACTCAATAAAGGAACTCCGTCTTGCTCCAGGCACATGAGTAAACCAACAGAGACCTAAGGGGCAGGAGGCACGTGGGAGCTGGGACTGCTGCCCTGCTCACAGCGGTAGCAGTTACACAGTGGCCTCTGTGCTTTGAGCAGGTACTTGTCCTTCTCTCCCCAGCTTGAGAGGTACTTGTCCTTCTCTCCCCTTCTTCCCAGAGGCAGCTGGGGAGAAAACGAGAGGCTTTTGGTTGCACTTATGATCCCTGTGCCCATCTGTGACTGAGAGGGACCAAAGTGAAATGCACGCCACTGCTGCAGAGCCAGCTTGCCATGTGCTGCACCCTGGCAGCTCTTTCTGGCATGGCACAACCACTCTCACAACGTGCTGGGTTGTGCTGCTGCCTCTAAGCTTGACTCGCTCCATCACTGTCGCTTCCCTGTTGAGACCCACCCAGCTCAGCCACAGCACACGGTGTCCTGACCTGCTGCGCAAGGGTAGCTGCACCAAAACGAGCTGAAAAGATCCTGAGAAGCAATTCTTACTCTGTGGGCCCTGGCTGGAAAGGTCACTTCCAAAAAAAAACCACCCAAAAAAGCTCTTCCTGCTTTGTTGTACTCGGGCCTGCTTTCCAGACTGGGGAGGGAGAACTACCTGCAGACCATGATTGTGGAGAGCTGCCAGGTTAGCGTCTAGCCCACAGAGGCTGCTGGCTAGTTGGAGTAGGGCTGTGGTATGGAGGTGACTCCTGCCTTGGCAGAGCAACATAAACATACCAAATGCATTGTTTTCCAGGACTACCTTTTTCCACTACAGCTGCATAACCTTGGAGCCCACCTGGATATCCCCCACTGCTTGGATAATATGCCTGGAAATGTTTGCATTGCTTCTGGAATAGGATGGGAACGAAAACAGACAGTAATTAGCATATATGAATCTCTTTAAGCAAGGAATGCAAACTCTTCCCAGGAACCAGGATAGAAACACCCGTCTAGATTTAACCCTTAAAAGGTTTCTAGTACCTCGTATCGGGAACCAGGTCAGGTCTCTCGGGCCCTTCAGATCAGCGCAGGAATCACAGGCATCTCTTCCCAGTTACTCTCATCAGCTGTGCGTTCCCAGTGCTGTCGCACTGCCGCAGCGGTGGGGCACATCCAGCTACGCAGCGAGCTGGGCTTGCGGGGAAGGGTAATGGTGTAGTCCTCTCGGGAAACGGTGCTTCAGCAACCGCTTAGGTCTGGGAATGCTCACAGGCTCCTACAGAAAGGTCTGGAGGAAGGAACTGGGTTCAGGTCAGCGCTCCTTATGCCGTTCCTTTGTAGAGTAGGAGTTGGCGCCGTACAGCTGTCCCTCCGCACGGGGCAAGCGATGGTGAAGCTGGAGCCTTGGGGCAGAAACGGGCTCTGTGACTTAAAGCAAAGCGGGAGAGATAAGTGTGTCGGTGTCGGTGAACGGGCATGACGCCCGCAGAACAAGCTGCGGTAAAGGCAGCTCCAGCCCCTGATTTGCACTTGCGGGTAACAGAAACCCTGTACCCATCATCAGCTGCTCTTCCCAAGCGAGCAGCTCTTCTGTTCTGGGCATGTTCTTCTCCGGGAACAGCAGTGTCTGGCCTGTAATGCAAAACAAATTTCATGGGATCAATCAAAAGAAAAGGCAAAATACCACACAGAATTAGGTTTCTGGGGAAACTTGGGCATTACACCTCGCAGCAAAACTGTGAAGCTATAGGAAACTCCCCCAACCATCAGAACCTTGCAGTATTGCTCATGCTAAGGGTGCATTATTTTTCTCTTTGTAAGCTAAGTCTTGGGTTTTTCCTCGTTCTTCTCGTTTTTCTTGTTCTCGTTTGGGTTTTTTTAAACTACTACAACTATATAAAATAAAACATGCTGCACCAGGAACATGTAAGCAGCTGTTTGAGGGGAAAGTCATTGAGAAAGACCCTAGAACGTAACTTGTTGAGCTGTTATTACCAATCGGAGCCGAGAAAGAGAGCTTCCACTTTGTATCCACAAGCTACGATCAATCTTACGGCCGAGAGCCACTCTTGTTCTTGTGGCTGGGTTACGCGGAGAAGCCGAAGACGCAGAGGCTGTGAGAATGATGCAGGGAGTTATAGACAGTCAGTGAAATAAACAGTATCTACTTAACTATTATCTGCTCCTAAAAAAAAAAAAGAAAAAACCTGTTAAATAAATTGTATTCTTGTGGTACAGGTCATTTCAAACAAACCAAGAAATAAAACACAGACATGTAAAAACTAACCCAGACAGAGTAATGTGTGTTGTGTTTAGGAGCTGCTCTGGTCTGTCCCTTGGGATGCCCATAGCCCCAGTGGAAGAGGCTGGGGGGGAAGGCATGATTTGTGGGTGCTGCGGAAGGGGAGGACAGCCCCAGCCCCACACTTGGAAACTCTGTTTTGGTGTTTTCCTGTATCAGGAAGAGCTGCTCAGCAAGCTCCTGCTGGGTGTTTGCAGGATGAGCTTTGCTGCGCACTGGTTAGGCAGGCGCCGTCATCAGCCGCTGCCGTGGACTGGCCTGTTCCATCCCCTCACCCGTTTTTTCCCCAACGTTCTGCATTTCCCTGGTACAAGGAATAAACATGAGTCTAGCAGCCAAGAAAACCAGAATCGCTGATCATAACACAGACCGCTGGGCTGAAACCCTACAGTGACGTCGGGAGCGTTGCCAGGATGACAGCAGCCGTCCAGTGCTTCTGACGTGGGTGCAGGGGAACGCACCAGGGTGATTGGGGCAGAGACGTGAGGAGCGAGGTCTCCAGGTTCTTATTCTACGCTGGTTCTACAGAGCACAGACAGCATCACCCCCTGCGTAAGCACCGCCATCCCCACGTGCCTCGCCCAGCCAGCGCTGCTGACGTCCTTCTTCCAGGGTCCTTCTTCCCGGCAACGGCACACGCTGCGTGATGCCGCTAAACCAGGCAGCCAGGTTTAGCAGGTGCCTCAGCCCGCCCTCAGGAGGAGGAGGGAGTGGCTGAATTAGTGGTGCCCAGTAGGAAAGGCCTCAGGCTAGAATGAGCTGGACTGAAAACTGAGATGAGCACGGAGCTGGAGAGGTGAAGCACAACAAGATCTTCCTACACATACAACAGGTCCCACTGCCGCCACCA